TGCAAAAGCAGCAACACCATGATGATGCCGTTTAAGCTGTTCCATAAACTCTTCCACATATAAGGCACAAATGCATTATCTCAGTGGCCAGGGGAAAATGTAAGCTGTAAGGCTCTGCTCACATGGATATTCAGCTGAATAGTTTAAATCACAGGTTTAGATGAATTCCCCAAAAGTAGACGCATAGAAGCATGTTTGCTGAAATGAACAAACGCCAGTAGATTCTGCAAGGAGCCACTGAATACTTAACCAAAGGTGAAGATACAGTTCTCATGGTATACTTGTATATTCTCCTTTCAGTTGGTGGATGAAAATGATATACTATTACTTCCTTTTGCATCTATCCAAATTTAGCAATTGGAGCTACAGGGTCTGGTATCTCCCGAAGTTTGCTGATATTAATTGTCGTTTGATGAGGAGTACAGTGGCAATTATTTGGCATGCTTTTCTTATAGAGAAGTCATCTGTGCTTCCCCTTTACACTGCCTCAAAATCTGCACACTGAATACTCTTTTTAAACTGGTTCATATTTCAAGTAGTGTTATGATTCTGAGTTTAAACTTGTGGTAAACTCAGGGGAGCCAGCGGACTAATTAATTCAGCACAGTAATTAATTAAGTCACTGTGCCAGATGTCAAACACTTTTTAGATCTTTCAAGTTCCTATCTTGAATTATGTTAACAATATACATCTCAAAACACTAAAAGGTTGGGTACATTGAATAAACTGATTGAAGTGTCATTTGTCAACGCAACAACAGCAACAGAGACTTGGTTAAATTCAGCTAACAAAAATGAAGAATTGTGAAGGCAGTTAGCCAAAAGACTGGACTCCATTAACCTAAGCAGTGTATGCTAACATGAGGTTATTGGGTGGAAGCTCTAGCAGATGAACTAAGAAGGAGATGTGCCAAATGTTTCTGATTCATAAATTGGTAAAGAGTCACACTTATATAATAACAGTGGCAGAATGTGACTGTCAAATAGTTTATATTGATTGATTGTCAGAAAAGCTTTAAATACTAATACTAATACTAATACTACTAATAATAATAATAATTTATTATTTATACCCTGCCCCTCTGGCTGGGTTTCCCCAGCCACTCTGGGCGGCTTCCAACAAAATATTAAAATACAATAGTCTGTTTAACATTAAAAGCTTCCTTAAACAGGGATAAAATACTTTTATTCTTCACAAATTATACCTCTGAGCATGTTGAAATGGAGAGTTTTCATCTGGAGGAATTCCCTGGTACTTTTTTATTTTCTTTTTTCATTTCCTGGATAGGCTTTCATTTACTGGATAGACAGTAAATACAGTGCTTCAGAGTTGCTGATGATGATAAGGATGCCATTCTTCATGAAGAGCATGTCATGGTTATTTTAGGCTCTGTGGCTAACACGACATGTGAGCCAGAGTAATGTTGTAGTGGTTAGAGTGCTGGGCACAGAGCAGGGATGTGGGATAAATTCAGTTTGTAGTTTAATGCAAATTCACTTGCTTCACACACAAATGCAATGCAGCCAACCTGTGAAATCTGTACTTCTCCAAAGCCCCCCCCCCCCGCAAGGGTTTTGCTTGCAAATATGTGTAAAAGGCAAAATTACATACAAAAATATGTACATTAGGATAAATGTGTGTTATAATGCTGACAAATTTTCATGATTGAAATGTGAACTGAATTCATGGTTGAAAATAATGAGAAAGACAGTGGAACTGAAATTGACAGATTCCTCCATCCCTAGGGATAGGGAGAACTGGATTTATATCCCTGCTCAGCCATGAAGTTTCTTTGAGCCAGCTGGTATCTCTAAGCTTTACCCCCTCACAGCATTGTTGTGAGGATAAAATGGAGTGGGAGTGGGGGAGAAAGAGAACCTTGTACATTGTTCTGAGCTCCTTGCAGTTTTTATACGCAGGAAAAATATGTATTAAAAGCAGAATTTAAAGGGCACTGTACCCTTCTGGATTTTCATGACAGTGTGAGATCATTTCAGTTTTGTAAGATACAGGTAGCTATAAATCCAGCTATAAGTATTCACCAGTTCTAATTCCTTAACACACAGGCAGACACATGTACTGTCATACCTCTTTAAATACTAATAACGCTAAAATTGTCATTGTCTTTCATAAGAACCAATGCAGTTTCCATATCAGCTTGTAAAGCTAGAGAACATTTATCAGCCCAGGACTGCATTCCCTTCTGAGGGCCACAAGCCACTGATGGGTGAGTCCAGAAGCAAACATGGGCGGGCCAACAAACGCAAATGATACTATTGTACAGCATATTTGTTTCTACACCCCACTCCTCTCTAGCTTCCATCCACACAGGCAAGAGACATTATTGGAGTTCAAGGGCACATTCCAGCAAGGCAAAAACACCCAGGGCACAAAACCATGTTCCAGGGACCCGATAGGCTTGGAGGGCCATGTTTGGCCCTGCTCTAGAATATATTATCAAACATTATTTGGTGATATAAAACCAGGGTAGCCAGCATGGTGCCTGTCTTCCAGATGTTGTTTTATTACAACTCCCATCAGCTCCAGTCAAACTAGCCACTGGTGACTCAGTTATGGGAGTTGTAGTTCCATAACATCTGGAGGGCACCAAATTGGCTAATGCTGCTACAGAAAGAACTTCCATGACAATTTTATTTTTTTAATGAAAACATTGTCAAGCATAAGCAATTGTGTTTCCCCCTTTTCCTTATCATCAGTATACTTCTTCTCAATGTATACAGGTACCTATACACACCTACAACTGAGCACTTCATGCATCTTATGAAGATGCCCACAAAAGCTTGTGCAGCTAACCAATAAACTGGTTAGTCTTTAAGGTGCCACCAGACTGTCTGTTGTTTTTGCTACAACAGACTAACACAGCTACCCTTCCAGCATTTGTATGATACCAACTGAGTTATGTTAATCATTGGTCTCTTCTTTTGAACTTTAAGGGAATGAAAGAGGAAAAAATGTGAAAAGATTCCTGACTGAAGCAGATAGTTCTAAGGGGAGATGTGGCAAAGGATGTAGAGCACATGATGAAAGTAAAACAGTGGTCCGTGCCATTACTTCATTAATCAAGTGGAAGCATTCTGAAAAATGTTTTTCTTTGGCTGCAGTCATCTATTTTTTGGTGTTAATCTATGCCCTGTGGCAGGGTTTTGTGAAACGAAACAATGAGTTGTTGTATCATTACCCCCCCTTATTGTTGTTGCCCCTGTCAGAAAGAAGAGAGGATGATTCAGGTCTGTATCAGTCTGATAAGAAAAAGAGGATTCAAAATGGCTGGGACGAGAATCTGGGGGAGTGAAGCTGTGCTGTTTGGGGCCAGGCAACCAATGGGATATAGCAGAAGTCTTTTAATAGGATCCTGAAGGTTCGCTGGCAAAAGCTGTTTGCTACTTCTAGGAGATTTCCTAATGAAACAGTTTGATTAGAAAGTACTGTGTGACTGTCTCAGGGGCCGGAGTTCAAAATACAGTTAAGTTATTCACTTGCTAATCTTTGGCTGTGTCAGTTCAGGGCAGAAACCTCCTATCTATACAGGCCCAGCCACTTGTATAATTGTTACAGTTACAATTTCAGAGTTTGCCAGTCACATTTTTTTTTACCAGAGGGATCCATTGAAACTACCGGAAACCTACTTAGGCTTGTTGTGACTGGTGATTTTAAATTGTGTTGGTGTTTTTGTAACAGAGACTTCCAGTCCATTGTGTTATTGGATAGGCTTACTGAAGTGCCCAACTCTAAGACAGAAGAGTTAAGGTAGAAGAGGCTGTAGAGTCTTCTTTCTTCTCTTTTTGTACCCCCACTATTTATACTCCAGCAGCTTTCCTCCATTCCTAGGCTACACGTGATGTTTACCATGAGGATTGCCTTCCCTGTGATTTTCGATCACTTAGCTGTAATGTATAGTGGCACTAACTGTGTGAATCAGGGCTATCTTGTAGTGAGTGTCACTTTCTACTTGGAAGCCAGTGGTAGCAGACCCTCCAAGTGTCCCTATTTTCCAGAGATGTCCCTGATTTAGAGAAGCCGTCCAGGTTTCTGATTTGTTCCCGAAATGTCCCGCTTTCCCTTAGGATGTCCCTGTTTTCATTGGAGAAATGTTGGAGGGTATGGCGCTATCCAACCCCTGAGCTATCTGAAGGCAATCCTGCATAGGAAAGTTTTTGTTTAATGTTTTTATAGATGTTGGAAGCCGCCCAGAGTGCTGGGGCAACCCAATAAGATGCATGGGGTATAAACAGTAAAATTATCATTATGGAATGGGATGTTCCTATTTTCATTGGAGAAATGTTGGAGGGTATGTAGTAGTGTGGGAAAACCCATTAATTTGTGTTTTGCAGTGGGTTTATGATATATGGGGTACTTTTCTCAGTCAATAGAACTCCTGTCTTATATCACTCAATCCCCTGTTTTACAAAAGATGTTCTCAAGCAGGGGTAACCAACACAGTATCCTCCATATTGTTGCTGGACTACTACTCTCATAATCCTTGACCTCTAGGAACAATGGCTGGGGCTGATGGGAATTGGAGTGCAATAACATCAAGAGTGCACCATAATCCATGTCTTCCTCATCTATAGCTGAACCCCAAACAGACCTGAACCAACATTCTTAAAAGATTAATTTCTTTCTTATCCTGTGTTATGATTTCTGATTGAGAGTGTCACTACAGCAATCACATCTGTGCACCATCATGTTCAGAGCACACAAAAGCATTCTTGATGTCTAACTATGAGCATCTGAACATGAATGTATTTTAGAAGATGGCCTGACTTTTGGCGTATTGGAGGCAGGTGATAATGGTTTTGCACTGATTTATTGGAATTTGTTTTGTTTTGTTGGGATATTTTATGAGGTTTGCATTTCATTAATCTGTCATTATCCAACTTCATCTTCTCAGCTGGGTGGTAGTGCCATCATAGAATCGTAGAGTTGGAAGGGACCCCTAGGGTAACATAGTCCAACCCCCAGGAATCCTGCCTTACAGCCATCTCTGGGTGGAATCAAACCACCAATCTTCTGGTTAATAGCCAAACACACTGATGCATTGTGTAACAAATCAACCAAGCCATTCCTTCTGTAGCTGCTTGTAAAAGTCTGATGAGTCAAATAAATTGCTTCAAATGTTTTGCATTTTCCTAAGCTTGGGGTGGCTGCTCCCTTTCCCTGTGTTGCTGTAGGCCAGTTTCCCCAAGAATGCAATAGTAGATGCACATCCTGGGAAGTAAGTCTCATTGAACTCAGGAGGACTTTCTTCTTAATAAACATATTTAGGATTAAATGACACATAGCTCCTTTGTTTATTCAAAGGAGAGTCAATTCAGATATCTTTAAACATAGCTTGGTTCAGCTCCTTGTTTGTACATGGACAGCTAATTTTGGCTGACTCAGTGATATTTGAATGTGGCCTTTTCGCCTTAGCAGTGTGCCTCATGCATACCTCTAAACAGTAACATCCCACTTACTGAAAGAAGAGAGCTTCTGATTTCATACGCATTCAATACCTTGTTTCAAACAAGCTTTTAATAACTTGGTGCTAACTAAAAGCACCCCCATTAAGTGGAATTTATGCTAATACCATCCTAATTAAGCAGTAGTTATTACCAATCATTATCATTAAACTAAATCAGTTCCCTGGGAGACATCTCTATGAAACAGCTGTCCCATTTCATCATGTCACATTTCTATACTTCAGCGTGTCACATTTCCGTACTTCAAATAACATTTTATATTTATGTACCAATTTTTAATTTGACCAGCTTCATTGCTCTACCATCACCATTGTCAGACTGAAAAGAAAGCACCTCCAAAATGTTTGCTAGAGAAGATGTAGGTGCTTCTGCCTGATACCTCCCAGTTTCTGAATATGTCATTGAAAAGTCCTTGTCCCAGAGCAGTGGCCAGCTTATTGTCTCCATCCTTTCTCTGTTAAGTCCAGGTGGCTAAATTGAGTCTGTGGTTGCTACATGCAATTGTTCCAAAATAGCAAAGGAATTAAGAGATTATCAAAAGCAAGTCTAGCATTGTGTTGATTATTCTCTTAGTTTCAATATTATCTTCAAAAGTAGCATATGTGACATAGCCAAATTATCTAACATTTCCATTGTTTCAAGTGCTTTTATTTATTTATAAATTATATTCTGCCCTTATTTCCAAAGGATGTCAGAATGGTGAATACAGAAAGAGAAAAGAATACAAACATCTAAAAACATTTCCAGTACAGATGCTGACTGTTCAAAGCCTCTTTAATTTCCTAGGTATTTATATTTCTTTTCTTTGCCAGTTTCTTTCCTTTCTGCACTCATATTCCTGGGCCTCATTCGTCTGATTGGCCATGGTAACGCCGTGGTCTTTTTCATGAGAACCTGAGACTTCCATCACATAAGATTTCTCATTGTGATGTCATCAAGAAATCACATGGGCTTAAATGGCAATGTGGATAAAATAAAGCCCAGGATTATGGAGGCAATGAAGTCAGAAGAATATTGTTAAGCAACACTAATACAGTGGTTGGCTCAACCAAACTGTGGCTTACCACGGCACAGCAGCTAAGCCAAAGTTCGACTTATATATTGTCCCTACCCAAGATCGTGGTTAAGCTCTCTACTCCTTAACCATAAGCTGTAGCCAAGAACCAAGCTTGTGGTTAAGGAAGAAAGAGCTTAACCATGAGCCCTGGTTTGGGCAGTGCGCTCATGCTGAGGTAGAAGGAACAGGGAGGAGCTCTGGTAGTTTGCACTGAGTTTGCTTAGTGTTACGTGCAAATGCAGCCAGTATGAATGTGTTTGCACTAAGCACCAAAATTGCTGAAAATGGGAGATACTCTTTGATACCCACAAAACAAAACACAAAAGAGGTAAGCAGTGTATGACTCAAAATCATCCCACATAGTGCTTCAAGGCACACCATGTTTTTGCAGGAGGGCTCATAGTAAGTCCTTATCTGTATGGCTCTAAGTTGATAATGAGCTCCTGATTCAAGAGAATAAATTCTTGCTATGATCTTGGGCATTTTAGTGAAGCTCAGGAACGTCCCTTTCTGTTTAGACTAAGGTCCCTGCCTTTGAGCTCCCTGGGTGGTGGTCACCTCCTCTCCCTCTGCAAATGTGGGGAGATAATGAGCAGCAATGGAGTGGGGGCAAGAAACTGGTAGGTTTTGGATCAAAGGAAAAGGGAGCAGTGGTTGAAACCAATTTGATTACCCCCTCCTCAGAAACTGGATTCAGCTCAAAATGATTTTTTGAACAATTTATATTTAACACACACAAATGCACACACACATTGACACACCCTCTCTGCAGTAATTTGAAAATTCTTCCCCATTTCACTACTTGCCTGCCCACTGTGTTCGTCACCAGAAGCCTTCTTCTACGTCTTTTTATATTCAGAGGTTCAGCTGGCTGGGACAGTAGACAGGGTCTTCTGAGTAGCAGCACCAAGATTGTGGAACTCCCTTAGGAAGTCTGATTAGCTCCCTCTGCCTTTCAAGCAAATACTTAAGACATTCCTGTTTAGCCAGGCACTTGGTCTGTCCTAACCATTTTGTTTTGTCCTCCTGCAGCTATGTACTGTGGCACTGTTGCTCCAGTTTTTAGGTATTAGTAATATTAGTGTTGTGCTTTTTTGTGTTTTGATTTTGTGAGCCACTTTGGTTACTGACTTGTTGAAAGGTATGGTAGAAGCGTTTTAAGCAAATGAACAATATATACTGACTTTTGCAGTATCAGTTCACATTAATTATGTCTCCTTCCGCATCGCAGTATCCCAGAAGGACTTATGATCGCTACCTGCATCAGAGCATTCCCTCAATCACAGCAATCCAGTTAAAGAGATAAACAGCCCAATAACGTGCATCTTTTCTCAGTAGTAAATCACCAACTTCACCAACTTCCTCCCAAGTAAATGTGCATAGGTTTGCAGCCAAAGACATGTAATACGATGCATTGTATGTAGTTTAGCCCTAATCATTGGTTGCCATCTGCGCATGCTGTATTAGTGGATCCGAAATGGAAAATCTGTGACTGCTGCCTTCACATGAGCATAGTGATGGACCACTTGGGCTTTACATAATCATTGCAATTGTATGGCTGGCCTAACAATCACACAAAAGCATTGTACTAGAAATAACTCTCATGTGATTTGCTTAGGTTTCCAATCCTTAATCATACATTGTCCTTGGGAAATTACTTCCTCATAGAAATATACCATGCAGAATTCTGTACCGTTTCCACTTCCCATTTGATGCTGTTGGGGTGAAAAGAGGGAGAAATAAAATCAAAGCATTGTTTTAGAATACAATTTGATCCCACTTTCTTTAAAAAAAACCTTTTCCTGAGTCCCTTTCTTCTTTTCCTTTCGGTGTTACCTCTTTTGAGAAGCATTGTCCTGATTTATAAGCATCATTGTCCCCTGGTGTCTGAGCTTCAGATCGGAGAGGTACAAGCAGTTGGATTGCATTTTCAGGATGCCAAATGTGTGCTCTTTGATCTGGTGGTACAGCCTGCCTCAGGGAATAAGCTCAATCTTGATTCCTTTAGTCAATCATCCACTATCAGGTACCTGGGCCATGATTAGGAGTCTGAAAAAAAAAGGAGCACATCACGGGTACATGTTGGATGCTGAAACATTTCTAAGGAGGGTGGTGGCACCACAGTCAACATTCCTGTTCAAGATGTGGCAATGTTTTCTGTTGTAAGAAATCTCCTTAATGTGTGAAGGAGCAGTAACAGGAGAGCTATTTTACCCACACACATACAGCAAATGACTGTACACTCTGATGAACCCTGTAACCTTGGTCAGCTTATGAATACCTCCTTCCTTTGTTTAACCTGCTGCTGAAGAACTAACAGTGAAAACAGGGTACACATTTTTCATCTTGACCTCTATGAATTGCTAGGCATCTCTGCAAAGTTGTACCTTCTTAACATTCCTAGCGTTCTTTGATTCATGCTAGTATTTAGCACTTGTTGAGTGTTAGAAGAGATCTCTACTGACTATTCGTGTTATCATTCCTAAACCAAGTCACAAAATGGCATTTGTGTTGGAACTGGGCCACAGAGAGGTATACTTAATCTATTATGCAAAAATAGCACAAATATATCCCTGAAGATTCTCCCTCCAAGTGCAATAGGGAATAATGTAAGCACATTTAAATTTCACTGAATGTAGGAGTTACACATGTTATAACTGTAGATCAGACTTTCTGTACCATCTGGCCATGATAAGAGGAAATGTATAGAGAGATACATTAATTGTCAATGGATCAAAAATGTTCAGTGATTGATCATCTGACTTTTAGATGATTAACCAACTAAATTTAGACAAACTACCAAAGCTTCAATTTTGGTGCTATTTTAAGATAAGTTGCAATTTAACAAAGAAAAGCTACCATTCTTTTTAGATGAAAAAGTTTCCTTTAATACTTTTGTTTTATTTTCATGTACTGTACAGCAAAGTACCTAAACTGACACACTCAGGAATCCCAACAAGGAGTTCCATCATTTGCTGAAGACTATCAGATTTATAATGATGTAAGCTTTCATGGGCTAGAGCCCCTTGCCAGATATATGTATTTGATGAATGTGCTGTAGTAAAAAAAAAAAAGCTTATGCCACATTGCATTTGCTAGTCTTTAAGTTTCACAAGACTTGTTTCTGATGCAAGACATTAACATGGCTACCCATTGGAAAATAAAAGTTCCCCTTAATTTTCAGCCCTACCAATTAAATTTTGTCCTCACCAATAAAAAAAGAAAATCCCCCAGACAGATTAATTAACTATTCCAAACCCAGTGAAACTGTAGTATTTGGGTTTAAACTGATTTATTTTTACTAAAGCGTTGTAAATTTTGCATTGTGGATATAGTCCATAGCATGCTTTTGGGGTGTTTTCTGTCCCAACAGTAGTATATCAACTTTTCTTTCTTTAATTACTTACTTATGGAAAATAGAGGTGAAATGGCCAAAAAAAGGGACATTAAGGCTTAAAATTGTTGCTTTCATCTAATAGACTTTTCCACAAAAGGGGCAAAAATGGGATTTTTGCAAACTGATCTCCTATGT